TCTTCTATCCGCCTCCCACTCTCTCCCTATTTATTTCAGAACCCCCTTCCCCTCCCCCTTTTCTGATGAAGGGTCTAGGCCCGAAACGTCAGCCTTTCTGCTCCTATGATGCTGCTTGGCCTGCTGTGTTCATCCAGCCCTGCACCTTGTTGTCTCGGATTCTCCAGCATCTGCAGTTCCTACTATCTCTGATTCAAATAGGGAAAGGAGATGGGTGTAGCATTGTTAGTAGAAGACATAAAATCAATGCAGTAGTGAGGAAGGATCTTGGCTTGGAAAACCATGATGTGGATTCTGTATGGATGAAGATAAACATCAAGGGGTAGCAAATGTTGATGGGGATTGTCTACAGGCTCCCAAACAGTAGTGCAGATGTAAGGGAAGGCACCAAATTGGAGATTAGATATGCACAAACAAGGAGTATAACTGAAACCATGGATAATTTTAATCCATATATATATTGGACAAGACAAACTACTGTGGAGGAGGATTTCCTGGAGTCTAAGCATGATGGCTTTTTAGACCAATATATTGAGGAACCAAATAGAGAGCAGGCTATCCTAGGTTGTGCAATGAGAAAGAATCACGGAATCATACAGTATAGAAGAGGCCCTTTGGTCCATTGAGTATATACTGTCAAAACACACCAAATCTACACTAGTCCCACTTTTCTGCAGTAGGTCATAGCTTTGAATGTTATGACACTTGAAGTACTCATCCAAGTACTTTTTAAAGGTTGTGATGTTTCTCACTTCAACTGCTCTCCCAGGCAGTGCCTTCCAGGACCTTACCACCCTCTAGGTAAAAAAGTTTTCCTCAAATCCCCTTAAACTTCTTGCCTTTCACATTAAAATGATGCCTCATTCTCATTGACCCTTCGACTAAGAGGAACAGTTCCTTTCTATCCGTGCTGCCCATGGCTATCATAATCTTATACACCTCTATTAGTTACCCCCAACCTTCTCTCTCTGTTCTAAAGAAAACAACCTAAGCTTAGAGATAACAAGGTCTAGAGCTGGATGAACACAGCAGGCCAAGCAGCATCAGAGGATCAGGAAGGCTGATGTTTCGGGCCTGGACCCTTCTTCAGAAAACCTAAGCCTATCCAGCTCTTTTCATCCCTAAACTGCTCCTTCCCTGGGTACATTCTGATGAATCTCCTCCTTCCTATAGTGTGGGGACCAGAACTGCACGTAGTGCTCCATTTGTGGTCAAACCAAAATTCTGTACAGCTCCAACAGAAACTCCCTGCTCTTATAATCTGTGCCACAAATGACCAAGGTAAGTGTCCATATGCCTTCTTAACTACCTTATTAACCTGTTCTGCCACCTTCAGGGATCTATGGACAAGCACCCCAAGATCCCTCTGCTCGTCTAAGCTTCCTAGTGTTCTGGCATTCACTGAGTAATCCCTTGTCTTGTTCCTTCTTTCAAAAGGATTAATTCCATCAGAGAAAAGTGACCACAAAATGATAGAATGTTCGTTAAAATAAAAAGTGAAAAAGTAGGGTCCTGAATTTAATAAAAAGAACAACAAGGCTATGATGCACTGGATGTATTGGGGAACCTTACTAAAAGGGTTGGCAATGGATAGGAAATGGCTAATATTGAAGGAATGTATGGCTGAATAGCAGCAATTCTTCATTAATATATCATGCACTAATAAAACAGAAAATGTGGCTTAGCCACGGGTTAGAAAGAAAAATTAGGTATAGCATTAGATGCAGAGGAGACATGTAAAATTGCCAGAAAAAGCAGCCAGCCTCATGATTGGGAGCAGTTTAGAATTCAGCAAAAGAGGTCAACAAGATTGATTAAGAGGGGGCAAATAGAGTATGTGAGCAAACTCACAGGAACATAAAAATTGACGGTAAAGACATTGATAAATATGTGAAGAGAAAAGATGAGCGAAGACAAATGTAGGTCACTTGTGATCTGAAATTACAATATTACAATAGGCAACAAAGAAACAGCAGAAAAATTGACCATGCATTTTGGTTCTGTCTTCACCGTAAGACTACAAGGTATAGGAGCAGAATTAGGCCATTCAGCCCATCGAGTCTCTTCCACCTTTCAATCATGGCTGACATGTTTCCCATTCTCCTACCTTCTCCCCATAGTCCCAATCCCCTTACTTCTTTCTCTCTGTCTTAAAGACACTCAAAGACTTAGCTTTGAGCAGCAATGAGTTTCACAGATTCACCACCCTCTGGCTGAAGAAATTTCACCTCATCTCGGCTCTAAAAGGTCATCCCTTTAATCCCAGTTTTTGTTTTTTAATCTGGCTCCTTACTTATTATTGTAACAGGAAAATTTACCCATCCTCTCTCTGTATCCCTCAATCCCTACCCACACACCCTCTCTCTGTTTCCCTCAATTCTCACCTACCCACCCTCTCCTCATATCCCTCAAACTCCACTCTCTCCCTGTGTCCCTCAATCCTCATCTACTCACCTTCCTCTCCTGTCCCTCAGTCCCCTCCAACCCAAACTAAAGGTTACAATGTTACATTGATTATAGTGTGATTATACCCACTTGGGTGGATGGGTGCAGCTCTAACAACACTCAAGTAGCTTTTTAGCTTTCATTCACAGGATGAGGGCATTGCTGGCTGGACCAGCATTTATTGCCCATCCATAATTGCCCCAAGGACAGTAAAGAGTCAACCATACTACTACAGGCCTGGACTCAGATGAAGACCAGACCAAGTAAGGAAAGCAGTTTTCTTCCCTAAAGGACATGAGTGAGCCAGATGGGTTTTTCCCAGCAATTGACAGTAGATTCATAGCCATCATTCAACTCGTTTTTTCCCTCATTGAATTCAAATTCCATCATCTCCTATCCTGGGATTTGAACTCAGGTCCCAAGGTATTACCTGGGTCTCTGGATTAACAGTCCAGCAATAATGCCACTAGGCCATCCTCCCTAGTTTGACAGCATCAGGGACAATGCAGCCTATTTGATGGCCACATCCATAAACATCCACTCACTTGACCACCGACGCTCAGTAGCAGCAGTGTGTACTATCTACAAGATCCACTGCAGAAATTCACCAAAGATCCTCAGACAGCACCTTCCAAACCCACGACCACTTCCATCTAGACGGACAAGGGCAGCAGATACATGGGAACACCACCCCCTGCAAATTCCCCTCCAAGCCACTCATCATCCTGACTTGGGAAAACATTGCTGGGTCAAAAATCCTCCAAGTACCTCCCTAAGGGCATTGTGGGCCTACCATGCAGCACACAAACTACAGTGACTCCAGATGGCAGCTCACCACCACCTTCTCAAGGGTAACTAGGGATGGTCCAGACAGCAACACCCACATCCCATGAGTGAATAAAATAAACATGAATTATACTAGTTTGATTACCTATGATTATACTGGTTTGAGTTTGAGTGAGAGTTTCGCATGAAGCTATAAAACAAATTCAAGCCAGTATTTTAATTTCCACCTTATACTGGTTCTTCCTTCTGGTCTGGCTGTAATCAGAAACAACAATTAGCCTTTAATTTGTTGCTTTTTGTTTGATACAAACCCTTGGCTTCTTAATTTTGATCAGTATGCGGAAAATAAGTAGAGCCTGAACCTGATTAATAATGTACCCCTTTCTGACAGCTGTTGGCCTCAGTTTGATCAGTTTGCCAGGAAGGCTCTCAGCAGCAGTGACTACAACATCAACATCCCCTCAGAGGGCCTGCTCTTTGATTATTACATTGAGCCTGCCACTGGCGGCCTGCAGGGTCTGTTCAGACACGGCGATTCAGAAAAGAAGAAGACCAAAGTTCCAGCTTACGTTCTCATTCCTGAGGTAAGTCAGGCTGGGAGGAGAGACAGACAGACAGTGGGGCAGATTAAAAGAGATGTGGAACATGGTCGGTGGCATCGATAGTTATTGAGTTAATCCCTGCCAGTGCAGTGGGTATTGTACACTCACCTAGAGAACCACAGAGCTGGACCAGAGATTAGAGTGCGAGGTCACATCGCACTGAGACAACTTGAAAGTCTGAATTCAGTTTTTCAAAATATCTGGAACTAAAAGCGTTGGGGTCACTAAAAGTGACCAACAAACTGTTGTATAATCATGAAAATTCTTCAGGAACATTCTGTTCCTAGTCTAGGTGACTCCATACCCATAACAATGTGGTTAACACTTAATTGCTGCTTGACTTGGTGGAGCAAGAGACAGCATCATTACGCTTCACTTCTGTTACTAAACAATAATGATTAAAGTAAACTGTATCTCCCCATTCTCAATGATGGAAGAGCCCAGCACATCAATGTAAAAGATAAGGCTGAAGCATTCGCAGCAATCTTCAGCCAGAAATGCCGAGTGGATGATCCATGTTGGCCTCCTCCAGTGGTCCCCAACATCACAGATACCAGTTTTCAGCCAATTCAATTCACTCCACGTGATATCAAGAAATGGTTGAAGACACGGGATACTGCAAAGGCTATGGGCCCTGACAGTATTCCAGCAATAGTACTGAAGGCTTGTGCTCCAGAACTTGCTGCTGCCCTAGCCAAGCTGTTCCAGTACAGTTACAACACTGGCATCTAACCAACAGTGTGGAAAATTGTCCAGGTACGTCCTGTAAATAAAAAGCCGGACCAACTCAACCCAACCGTTACTGTCCTACCTGTCTCCTCTCGATCATCAGTAAAGTGATGGAAGGTGTCATTGACAGTGCTATCAAGCAGCACCTGCTCAGGAACAACCTGCTCAGTGACGCCCAGTTTGGGTTCCGCCAGGGCCACTCGGGTCCTGACCTCATTACAGCCTTGGTTCAAACATGGACAAAACAGCTGAATTCCAGAGGTGAAGTGAGAGCTTTGATGTGCTCTGCCCCTCCCTTCATCATTGAGGATGGGAATATTTGTGGAGCCTCCTCCTGCAGTGAGTTGTTTAATTGTCCACCACCATTCACAACTGAATGTGGCAGGACTGCAGAGCTTAGATTTGCTCCGTTAGTTGTGAAATCGCTTAGCTCTGTCTATCATTAGCTGCTTACGCTTGCAAGTAGAACTGTATGATGGCTTCACCAGGTTGGTACCTCATTTTCAGGTATGCCTGATGCTGCTCTTGGCATGTGCTCCTGCATGCTCCATTGAACCAGGGTTGATCCCCTGGCTTGATGGTAATGGGTGAGTGGGGGCTTCAGGGATAGGGAGGTGTGAGGCCATGGAGGAATTTGAAAATGAAGATGACAGTTTTAAAATCAAGATGTTGCTTCCTGTGGTAGTGAGTGTAGGTCAGCGAGCACATGGGGTGATGTGGGAAGGAGATTTAGTGCAAGTAGAGTTCGATGAGCTGAAGTTTGTCAATGATATAAAGAAGGAGGTTTACCTGAAGGACAGAATCATCAGGAAACAGTGGAATTCTGGCTCAGATTTCCAGCAATACCAGCTGACATTGAGGCAGCGTTGAGTTAATCCAGAAGTGAAAGTTGGTGAGTCTTTGGGATGGTGCGTCTTAGTGGTTAGAAGCTCAAGTCAAGCGTTAGGATTAAGAGCAGGTTCCAGTGCTGTCAAGTCAGGGTGGTCTCATAATGAACAATACAAACTAAGAGTCTCCCTGGGATCTCTGTCAGTCTGTGACCAATGTGTCAGCTCCATTGGGCTGCAGTTCAATCAGCAGCCAGCTCTTTATTGATTGATTGATTTATTGATTTATTGTCACCTGTACCAAAGTACAGTGAAAAGATTTGTTTACGAGCAGTACAGGCAGATCATAGTAAGCAAGAATGTACAGATCAAAAAGACAAGGCATACAGGTTACATTGCACAGGGCATGCGCTAGGTGAGATCAAAGAGTTTAATTTTAAAAGCATAGAACGTTTATAAGACATACTAGAGTTAGATCAGCTGCAGGGAGCTCACGAGGAGTCGCACAGTGTCGGCATCCATCTTGTTTTACTGACAACACCTGAAAGTGCAACCCATCGCCAGAAACCTATAAGTGGCCCCCACAACCTCAGCTCTAGTTAACACTGAGCCAAATGCCTTAATGATAGAGGTGCCAGTCCATGTTCACCAGCTGAGGAGTTCAGTAGTGGGTGCTGACTCCAAAACTGTGCACCATCAGCTTGTGCTCAGTGCCTCTGGTGAGGGAAAGAGGCTGTTTCCAAACAGGAAGAGAATGTACATTCTAAAGAAAGGTCTGCACTTCATCTCGGGAGGTGATGGCCTAGTGGATTTATCACTAGATTTATCAATCCAAAACCTCAGCTAATGTTCTGGGCTCTTGGGTTTGAATCTGGCCATAGCAGGTAGTGGAATTTGAATTCAATTTTTTTTAAATCTGGAATTAAGAAACTAGTGATGTCATTGCCAATTGTCAGGAAAAACTCCATCCAGTTCATGAATGTCCTTCAAAGAAGGAAATCTGCTGTCCTTAACTAGTCTGGCCTCTAAGTGACTCCAGGCCCACGGAATGTGGTTGTGTCTCAAGTGCTCTCTGAAATGGCCAAGTAAGCCACTCAGCTCAAGGACAGCTCGGGATGGGCAATAAATGCTGGCCCAGCCAGCAACAGCCAAATCCCACAAGTGAATAAAAAAAATCCACTTACCATTACTGAATAACCATCATCCACTATCAACATTCTGGGGGTTTACCATTGACCAGAAAATCAACTAGACTCATCACATAAACAAAAACAGAAATTACTGGTAAAACGCAGCAGGTCTGGCAACATCTATGGGGGGCAAAAGCAGAGTTAATGTTTTGAGTCTGGTGACCCGTCATCAGAATATCGAGAGGTTCATCCTTCTCAATTATTCCAGTCAAAAAAAAGGACTCAATTTTTGCTGAGGGTGTCATAGAGTCATAGAGTTCTACAGCACAGAGAGAAGCCCTTCAGCCCAAACTGGTCCATGCTGACCAAAATGTCATCCATGCTAACCCCATTTTCCTGCACTTGGCCCATATCCTTCTAAACCTTTCCTATCCATGTATTCGTCCAAATTCCTTTTAAATGTTGTTAATGTACCCACCTCAACCACTTCCACTGGCAGCTCATTCCATATCTGTACCACCCTCTGTGTAAAAAAAGTTGTCACCCAGGTTCCCACATATTCTTTCCCCTCTTACCTTAAACTTATGCTCTCTAGTCCCTGATTCCCAATCTCTGGGAAAAAGATTAAGTGCATTCACCCTATCCATGCCTCTCATGATCTTACACACTTCTGTAAGATCCCCCCCTCAATCTCCTACACTCTAAAGAAAAAAGTCCTAGCTTGTCCAACCTCTCCCTATAACTCAGTCCCTTGAGTCCTGGCAGTATACTTCTAAATTTTTTCTGCACTCGTTCCAGTTTAATAACATCCTTCCTATAGCAAGGTGACCAAAACTGAACACAATACTCCAAGTGTGGCCTCACCAACATCCTGTACAACTTCCCAACTTCTATACTGTCGGAGGGTCAGTGCTGAGGGAGCGCCGCACTGTCAGAGGGTCAGTGCTGAGGGAGCGCCGCACTGTCGGAGGGTGAGTGCTGAGGGAGCGCCGCACTGTCGGAGGGTCAGTGCTGAGGGAGCGTCGCACTGTCATAGGGTCAGTGCTGAGGGAGTGGGCACTGTCAGAGGGTCAGTGCTGAGGGAGCGGGCACTGTCGGAGGGTCAGTGCTGAGGGAGTGCTGCACTGTCGGAGGGTCAGTGCTGAGGGAGAGCTGCACTGTTGGGGGGTGTGTACATGAATGCTGTTCAGGAACAGATATATGTCAAATATCATTCTGAAGCCCAAATTAAATCTGATTGTTTCTTTTACAGTTTGAGCGGTATGTGAAGTTATTGGAACTGCTGCTTTTATCAGGTTGTTCCACACTGCTGGTTGGTGAGCAACTCTCTGGGAAGACCAGCTTTGTACAGGCATTGAAAGGATTAATCTCCTGCCCCACTATGTATCGACTGCCCATCAGCCCAAACAGCCAGCCCAGACACGCTCGATGCTATCTGACAGAGAGGGTCTTCACCAGTGGGCAGCAGGAACTCTCCTTACCATCTGCAGTGACTGCTACTGCCAAGGCCAAAACCCTTTTCTTCCTGGATGACATTCATGCTGCTCCTTTCAGTGAGTGAGGAGTCATCACTGTGTTCAAAACCGCGGAACAAATACACAGAATCAGTACACAGGGATTCTGAGGCTGAAAGTAACACTGAGAATGAGAGTGACCCTGAGAGTGAGGAGTGACCCTGTGACTGAGGAGTGACCCTGTGACTGAGGAGTGACCCTGTGACTGAGGAATGTCCCTGAGAGTGAGAGTGACCCTAAGAGTGAGAGTGACCCTAAGAGT